AGAGGCACTTGGAGATACTCGTGTAGAGGCACTTAGAGGCACTCATATAGAGGCACTTGGAGGCACTCGTGTAGCATTACTATGCCATATATAACTAGCCAATAATATTTTTATAACTAATACAATAATAAAGATAATAACTAATACTATACTAATAAATATAACTATAATAATAACTAATACTAAATATATAAATAATAAACTATAATCTATACAATATTATGTTGTATTACAATCTGCTTTGTAACAGTAGGTTGGGTAGATTGAGTAAATGAGAAGGGGTGTCTTGGAAGTTAAAATGTTCTTGTAGATCTGTAATTGTCATTTCGATTCAGTTATGTTTTGTGATAGGTCCTCAATGGTGTGGTGTAGATCTAGCTGTTCCAAGTAGGCTGTGATCTCGGATAGTTGGTTTGGTAGTGGTGGTTTAGTTGAAGAGTTTGAGTTTGTTTGAATTTCGATCCACTTAATAAGTAATTAGTGAAAGAAATAATGTTCTCAAAGAAAACGAGCAGTATCGACTAATACTTTTGGACTATTTATAGAAGGTTAAACTAACTTCTGTGATAGGATTGGGTTCAGTTGGAAGAGGAGGTTTGTTTGTGGGGTTGGCAGTCATATATTTGAGTGGGAGTGGGATGTTGAATTTGTATGAATCCTGGATTTTTGCAACAAACTTTTTGGCTAAGTGTGTATCAGTTATTGTGAATGTGTAATCTCCAATGGTATAAATTGAGTAGGGTTGGCTGGCAGTAGTTTCTTTTGTATGAAAAAGTTATTTAGAACAAGCCTGAAACTATAGTGCTCTGAGAATATTAACGTATTTTTTGAAGTCAATTGCATCTTAGGGGTTGCAAGAAAATAAATATCTAACTGCTGAGTTGAGGTTTTGTGGTATAGTAGGAAGTTGTGGTTTGGCTTTAGTAACTAGTTGGAATTTCTTTTTTGAATGAGTAGTAATAGTTCAATTTTTTTTCGATATTCAGAAAGATATGGTAGTGCAGATCTCTCAGTGATTGGGAAGAGGTCTTGAATTTCCTCATTTAGCTTAGAAGGATCATCAGGCAATGGTTCAAGAACTGTGTCAAAGTAGCTGTCAGGGGTTTTTCAAAAGTAAACACTTTACATAATGCCAGTACAGTGTCCCTTGTGAGGTTGCAGTCTTGGATTGGTAGTAGAAAGGGAAAAATTTCCTAGATAGACAGGTCTATTACCAAGGGCTTATCAGGTAATGGAGTAAGGAGTGAAGTATGTGTTTTGTTGAGAAAGCTTCTCATGTTCTTGAACTCAATAAGGCAAGTGATTTGGGCAAAGTTGAGGCAATAAGAGATGACGCAGGTGCAGTCATGAGAGCTGATCAACATGAAGTCTATATTGTAAATGTAGTCTATTGCAAGTTTGATCTTAAGCTTCTTAAATACTTGGTCTCTGTTAAACTTATTTATAAACTGGATATTATGTAATCTTTTGTACTTTTTTATTGCCATCTGTAAGAGTGAGCTAAACTCCTTTTGGTATTGGAGTTAAGTTTCCTTTTTTCTGGTGAAAGAACAGAAGAAAGCAGAGTCAAGGTAGTCAAATTTATTACAGATCGCATGGGGAATATTATGCTCGGTTGGTTTGGCTTGAATTTTATGTTTAAAGAATAGTTGCAGGAGTTCAGAATAGGTAAAGACGTTGATGATAGCATCATTATCAGTGTGTAAAATTTAATATTCTCACTGTTCTTAGAGAACATAAAAAATTTTTTGAGAACATTTTAGCTTAAGAAATGTTCTCTTATTTGAGAACATTTTTGTTAAATATTGTGTTCTCAGTGAGAACATAATAATTAATTTATAGTTCTCAAAAAATATAAATATTTGTTCATTTAAGTAACAGAAAATTTCTAATACAAATTGCTAAAAAATTATGCTAAGATTTTCTTAATTAACTGGAGCCCTCAGTATTTTACAATAAATCTTGTATGCTAGGTCAATTAATACTAAAAAATTTATATCATACGTATGAATTACTTACTCCAATTTAAAAATTTGATCAATAATGCTAATACTAACGCTAATTTTGACACTTTTACTTATTAGGTTAAAGTTTACTATGATCCAACATGAGGTTCTTGCATTGCCTGCGACAGCTATAGAGCCTAATATCAACATGATATCCTTTCATTGCTATTGCAGCCATTAAGCCTAATCATAACACATAATACTGTACAATATCAGATATACATAGTACGTACATACGTACACTTATCTCTAACCCCTTTAAGCAACTCGAGCGCCTCATGGTATTTTTAGATATATTGCGGTATATGCGTGCATACATACTATGTATATATATATATATATATATATATCAATATACCTAATATATATAGCATGGTGCAGCATCTAAACTGTTTAGAACCAAATATGCTGCATTTTATATCAATAAAATAAATTATTCTCACGTATTAAAAATTAATAAATGATCTAAATGTCTTTTAATTTATTGTTACGAATGTGAAATTAATTTGGAAAGGATAAAATAAAGCATGTATTTGCTATCAAAAGTCTGTATACATATATGAATAATTTCAATAGGATAATTTGATATTATTAAGAAATTAAGGTTCAAGCGCTTATTTAAAAATTGCTAGAGGTATTTAATTCTATAACATGACAGACAATTTAAAGTTAGATTGATAAATTGTTTTACTATATATGTTTAGCAAAAAAAAACTAATTTGTTTTTTGCTCTGTACTTCACTAGTGCAACGATCCATACTTATTATTTCATAGGCAAACTTTCGTATGATTGGCTGTTCAAATCAATTTAATTTTACATTATTTATACAGTTTAAAGTACTTTTTAAAAAAAAGAAAACTATGAAGAATAAACAAAAAAGAAGCATATAGAAAGTTTTATTAAGGTGGTATGACTCTATTATTAAAAATAATCCAAAATCTTTTTTGTTTTAGAGAAGTTAGCACAGTGATAACACAATTTTATCTGTCTTTAAGAAGTCACTATTGTGCTAACTTCTCTAAAACAAAAAAGATTTTGGATTATTTTTAATAATGGAGTCCTACAACCCTAATAAAACTTTCTATATACTTCTTTTTCATGGTTTTCTTTTTTTTAAAAAGTACTTTAAACTGTATAAATAATGTAAAATTAAATTGATTTAAACAGCCAATCATACGAAAGTCTGCCTATGAACTTATTACTATATTTTCAGTGGAATGCGTATTCTTATATTTTCCCCGACAATGCAGATATTGTTAGTATTTTATTGCGATTATAAATTAGACAACTAATTCAGATCTACTTATCTGACTCCTTCCCTTAGGATTAAAGGCTAATTTTGGCTTAACCGGATTTCTATCAGCATATCTCTACTTAGCCATCTTTTTGATCTGTTGACTTACTACATAAGTCAGCTTGAATGAAATAAATAGAAATGAAATATTCTCCAGAAATAGGAGGAAATAAATGAATAAAGACTGAGTTTTTGGTCCAACTATTAAGGTTAAGAACCAAAACCAAATCTTAGCCCAATGTCGAAACTGCAAAGAGCTTTTAAAAGTTCCTAGCTTGCTAGTTTGTTCTACTTGCCATGTAGCTATGGACCTTTGTCGCCACAAAAAATAATATTACGTTGGGAGATCGTTGTAAGCAGTTGAGTTTGTGCAGCTTAGCACTAGCCAGTGGTTTCTTACCTGTGTAATGCAGGCTGCTATAACAGGAGGAAACATCCAAATATAGATATGATTTTACTCTCCATTACACAGATCACTCATTGTATTGACTAGTCAAAATATCACTACGGGATTTGTCAACCAATCAAATTGCGAAATTTACAAAAAGACAAACCCGTGGGATTCAAGAGGATTCAAAAAATATGTTGTAAAGCAAAGTGAGAGCTTCATGTTTGTTTAATCATTTTCAATATTCACAGAAAAGATAAGTCAAACTAGCCTTCTAAAAAAGTATTGTAAAATAATATAAAAAAATTTTTATCAATTATGTAACAGTTTTATGACGTTCAACGTTTCCTCCTGTTGACTGCCATTAATTAAATATGTGATATTGATATTCAGCAGTTATAATTAAATGCCAATTGCATTTCATATAGCATTTCTATTGCTGTCTTCATTAAGTTAGTGATTACTGCTTGTGGAAAGTCATTCAGATCATATTGATAATCCAGAATTTGACTTATTCCGGTTGATGGTTTGCATTAGGCACATAAACAGCAATTGATATATTGGCACTGGCTTGGTTCTCATGCATAATATAAGACAGCCGGTGATAATGATATTCAGCAGTTATAATTATGAAGATAGGGTTTTTTTGAGAGGGAAGGTTGGGTCGTGAATTGGGCCTATTAACAGCTGAGTTAGCGATCGTTGGTGTAGGATCCTAATTGTAATCTTTTTTTCATTGCCGCATATGAACTAAAACTCGATGATTGTACGTACGTATGTATGAAATTGGTCTTGTTTCTATTAATTGTTTCACAGTACCCAACACCAGCACGGAACAGTAGCATGTGGAATCTTAGATTTTAATACCCAATTAAATGCAAGATTTTGCGAACTCACCATTCTAGATGGCAGATAACCATACACTCTGTCACTTGCATGACTTCGTTTCTGGTATATGGATAATAACGATAAATCTGATTAGTAATTAAACATATAATTAACATTGATAATAATTTCAGATTAGAATAATTAGGCAACTGTATTTAGAAAACACTTGTTTGTTTTTTTCTAGTAAAAAAATTAATTTTGATAATCATTAATAATTAAATATAGTGAGATATTTGAATAGGGTGAATAAGAATTTAAGAACAATTGTTTATGTTACTGTACATATTCTAATTTAACTAGTTAGGTTGATATTAAATTGTTATATAAAAAAGCAAATAATATCGATATTTTTACTTGCTGTCTATAGTCTTTAAAAACAATTAGACTTGTTAACTTTTTTTTATTTCAACTCTAATATGAACTATGTCTGAAAAAGAAAACCCTAAAAAAAAAACACTACTTATTACTCCCTTTAGTATTGCTACCAAAGGAAGTAACAAACGGCAAACTGTAGATAGCAGTTCTGAAGGCTATTCTAGTTATGAATTAGAAACTTCTGACATTTTACATGATAATAATAATCCTCATAATCTTAAAGTACCACGTTTGGCTAAAGAATCTTTAAGAAAGGACCCAAGTTGGCCAAAAAAGTTTCCATGGTTATATCATGGAGAAGTTACTAAGGCAAATCTTATATTTTGCTGTTGATGTCAAGAAGTAGGCAAACAAAACAGCTTTACTTCTGGCTGTACCTATTTTAAATTACAATCTTTAACTCAACATATTAATAACAAAGATCATCAATCTGTTATTGCAGCTTGATCAATAGAAGCTCAAACAGATATTCGAGATTCTTTTATAATTCAAGCTGGAATAGATAAACAACGAATTATACAAAATATGCAAAATGTATATTTTTTAATTAAGCATAATCTAGCAATAAGAGTATATGAGGATTTGTGCAAACTAGTAAAAATTCAATGTAATAGTAATCAAGATGAATTTAGTATTGGAGTACCTTATCTTTTAAAATGATCAGCTTTTAAATGATAATAATTTACATGCACCATATGCTAGCTATACAAACAATAAGACAGCTTATAGATTTATTGAAGCAATTGGGTATATAATTGAGCAATCAACTTTTGAAGAATTGCGTGTATCTAAAAGTTGGAGCATAATGCTAGATGAAAGCACTACTATATCTACTGAAAAAACTTTAGCTATAGTTTCTAAACATTTATTTAAACCTAGAAAACCTGTTTATCGATTTCTTGGCATGATTTCCCTTACTGAACAAATATCTGATGCTATAATGACAGACCTTAATAGTTTTATTCAAGCGAAAAATATTTCTTATGATAATTTACATTATGTTTGTACAGATAGAGCAAGTCAATGATCAGTAAATTTAATTTTATATTATAATATATATATGGTAATATATAATTTAATAAAATTAGCCCGTTCATCACTCGTACAAAAATTTGCCTAAATCTGCATAACTAAAAAATTTATTTTCACAATAATTTATTAAGATAACCTATTTTCTTGCTTTAATAAAAGTTATTCTCTATATAAAATTACATATAGTGTTAAAGTTTTAATTAAACTGGCCCAAAACTCATTTAACAACGGCCTTTTAGGCCAAATAGGTTTCTTTTGCCATTTGCGCCAAAACCAGCTTCTAAACCTCTATTCAAACTTAGAACAAATTTGTTCTACACACTCTCCTATTCAAAACAAGCTATAATAGACCTCTGTAGCTTCAATATTGACCAAGTTATAAGTAAAACAATTTCTATTTCATTTACTTCATTCATTCTTTTTTTTACTTTGGGAATTTTTTTTTTCCCAAACACTTAGAGACATTTTCTGTGCAACCCACATTGCCCCCAATCGTGCTACCCACGCTCTACATATCTCCAAAATTATTGGTATCTGTTAAATTACACTAAAATTACTTAATTATTAACTAATATCGCACAATCTTAATATCTGCCTTTTTAGTAACTTCTTATTCATACAATAAGATTTCCTTTTTGTCTTGTGCAACACGTGATATCATGTGACTTTGTGTAACATAAAATTTTAAAATTCTATTTGTAGGTCACGTGACCTTGTGTAACCTAAAGACTAGTCCCCTTTTTTATCTCACCCCTGAAAAACACATTCTAATATAACACCTACTTTATTTAATACTCTCTTTTCAACTTGGAAAAATTTTCTAAAAAATTAAATTTTTAATAACCAAAACTTACTAAAATTATCAAAGTTTAACCTACTTTAACTATTTACAATGCCTAAGTTAATTCAGGAAGAGCCGGATACTATCGACCTTGATTATGTTCACGCTTATTTTCCTAAAAGATTTGGTATCACCTTTTTTGAATACGTGCCTGATGCAAAGCTTAGACCTACTCCAGCCAACCAAGTACCTACAACATACCTTACCAGAACTACTCGTACTCAAATTACAAAAACTGCACACTTTTTCTACACACCTGAAACTACATTGATTGTCGCATGCCTATGCAACAAATATCATACTCACTTTATTGCTAAAAGCAATGCTACTTACCCATTAACTTCTACATCCTCATTTATCAATGTGAAAATGGGGAAAAACTAAAACAAAAAATCCGAAAACTTTATTGAACAAATCTCTCAAACTACTGATACAATTCTACTGTCTCCTACACACGAAACCTGTCAACATACCTGTCCCAAATGCTTTAAAAATATCACCTGTCGTATCTATAGTAGTAAACATTATCCTAATGAAATCTATATTATAGTAAACGAAGAGATCTTTCACATAAATTATGCTCCTACTGTATCTTCCACATCAACCACTTCTAATATTCCAACAATTTCAGCTGCTATTTCCACACTTGACCTATCTAGGAAAAATCTAACTCCTGTTTTTCAAAATATTCAAAATATCTCCTCCAACCAAGTATCTACTTCTTCTATCTCTTCTACTAATGATCTATTTCCAAAACTTCTACTAAACACACTAACATCAATACAAGCAAATCATTCCAACTTTCTCAATCCCAAATTCTGCTCTCTCAATCTCAAGCCTCTACAGAATCTACTTATTTAAGCAAAGCCAAATCTACTATTAATTCTCTTTCTTCCACATTAACACCACTTACTCCTACTAGGACTGTATCTTGCTCAATGGAAATTGATTCTGATACTCCTATTAACCTATTGATTTTAATTCTACTGATGAATAACAAACTAAACCAACTTATTCTAAACAGGACACATCTAATGACCTTGACTGGTTTTCTACTTACCCTATTACTGAAGATATGGAAAACAATACTTCTTTAAACACACTTGGACACCATCTTTTTAACTTTGTTAAACCACATCTTATCAAATTCGCACCTGGCAAAATTGTTAAAATCCTCTCTAATAACAAACAAAAAGGCAAAGAAATTAGATACACCTTTAACTACTTAATGGCCTCTCTTGCAAGAAAACGTCCTCAATTCCTCATTGATCTAATTTTAGAGGCAAACCCCTTACTAAACAAAGATACTATTCTTTCTTTTAGCATTATCCTTGATACCTTCAAATTACTTCTTCTCCAATTTACAACTGTACTCTTTACTCAACTTAACTAAAAAAAATTCTAACTTCCTATAGTTCTATTCCTCCATATGCTATTCGCAATCATAATCAAGTTGCTCTTAATCTTGCTCGAATCCACCTCTTTTTTCAAAATAAATACCATATGCAAAAATTTATAGAAGATCTTGATATAAAACCTATCTGTTTCAGAATTCATTATTCATTTAGTGAAGACACTTATAACAAATCTCTATTTCAAATCCATCATGATGACCAATTTAATATTAATGTTGCTTTTAATATTCCCAAAAAGCAATTTACTAAAGATTTCAAAATTCTATCTCTCAAACCATTCACTAATGACTTTGATGAATAGTTTTCTTCTTTTATTCCAATTTATTCTTGACAATTTTCTCAAAAATCTGAAGACACAGGGAAAAGAATTTATAATCATATCCAATATGATGTTGCTACTACTCTCACCTCTGAATGCAAAAAACTTCTTCCCTCTACCTATGAAATTCCTACTATTATCTCACTTAGTGAACGCAAAGAAGCTATAACCAAAGCAACCCTTCACCATTTCCACATATGCAAAGCAGATAAGGAAAACCCATGTACAATTCTTAATATTAATACTACAAATGCTGAATTTACCAACCAACACATCTATCAAACTATTTATCAACACTTTTACAAATACTCTCTTACTTTATATCCTGCTCCTACTCCAACCTCTTCTTCATCTGACCAATCTTCTCCTATCAATCAACCTATATTAGACTTTACAATCTTTACTAAAGATGGAACTTACCCTGCTACTTTCTCCAAATTCTTTTCTACTCAAACTTTTTTCGACTTAGCAAATGAAGCAGAAAACTTTTATATTAAAAACAACAATGCTGAACCTAACATTAATCGCAACACCTTCTACTTTTACTCCTACTTTAATGCATATCTCAAAGCAGCAGCTAAAAATGACAACATTCTTAACCTTTCCTATGATGAAACTATTCATAAACTTATTAGATCAACCACAGATGCTACATTCATTGGCAGAGTTATCTCCTATTTTGAAATACTTAAAAATCTTAAACAAACCTTTTTCCAAATCTATTTCAAATACAATGAAGAGTTCTTGCCACAGGCTGAACAACTCATTATCGAACACTATAATATTACCAAATCTACCTTTACTAATTCACTCTTTCTTAACTATTCTTATCAAAAACCTCTGAATATTCAAGAACCTGAACAGACCCTTGAAAAAAATCAATCTTTTTAATTAGGTTTCTACAAAAAACATAAAAGCAGCTGCCACCTCTGAAATAATGATGTCCTCCACATTTTGTGGACTATTTTCAGAGGAAAATGATATAAGTAGGCAGGCAGGAAAGCCTATTTAGTGAAAGGGCCAATAAATGACAGTCAGACTCGGTGCACAGAGCAGACCTTGGCATCTTGCATAGCCATGAGAACCAGGCATACGGCGAGTGATTTGTAAAAGACCTACTATTCTTTTCAATTATTAATTCATCACACCCTATTGAGAAAATATACTTAAACAAATTTCTTTACAACACAACTTAATAATTTTAACTTTATTTCAAACTTTATTCTTTTACTCTTAATAATTATTTCAACTTTATTTAATCTTCTCTTACTTTTTAAACAAATCA